TAGCTCATAAGCATGTTTTTCTTGTGCCTGTACTTGCTTTGGACATAAGTTTTCCTCTTACTCTGCAAATAATGACCATCATAACCATTCCTCTTCTGAGAACTGCATCTACCAAATCAATGGCTGAATTAACTTTTCAAGTTGGGAAATACCACTGAACATGTTTAACATGTGCTTCTCTTGCTCTTGAATAATTAAAAGATGCTCAGATCAATTATACGTACCAAAATGCCTAGTTGACAATGTAACCTTGGATTTTGTATTCTTAAAATTTGAGTAGCGTATTTTTAAATAGTCACAGAGGAAGTTTTTTCAGATATGTCTCCATATATTATTTTGTGTTTTTAAATTATAATTGTCAGTTTTATAAACATTTTGTAATTTTTTTAGGAATTAGCACAGAATAAGCAGAGAAGATAATTGCGTTTTTCTTATTAGTGATATAGCTTTTCAAAAGAATATTAAACTGGGATTTTTTTCTATGCCAATTAGACATAAATAATCTGAATTGGAAGATTTTCTGTTTAATTATCTCTGTTTTTTGTACAGTAGAGAGAAATGTATAGATACTAGATTTCTATATATGAATAATCACATGAAAGCACTAAAATGTGAAAGTGACAACTTGTCTCATTTTCTTTAAAATTAACATAATTCATTACTGGGAATGAATTTATGTAGCAATTTTTTTCCTGCAGAAAAATAAAGTACATTAACATTTTTGAGAAATGTTCCATGCCACATTATTGCCTTTTTGAAAAGATATTTTATCTTGGAAATATGTTTTTTACTTGAATCATGTCATTCCTTCATTATTATCATCCACAAGAATTGTTCTCAAGTTGAGGGACTGCTGTGTAGGATGTAATTATCCATTATTTTAAGTATGCTTTCTTCTTTTGCGCTATGTTGCACAGAGAAACACAATGAACGAGTCTAAAAATGTTAGATTTTTGCAGCCACATCTTTTTCATTTGTTGAATAACTAACTTTATATCATTTGTCAGGAAAGGGATCACATGTTCTAATAGGGTCATGATCCTGTTTTAGAATGCTTCTTTATACCCAGTTAGACCATCACTCACTCTATCTCAGTATTGTCTATATAAACAGAGAACTGCTTCCCATAGATTCAAACTGGATTCTTTCCCAGATGTGCCTGAAGAAGTCAGGAATTAAAACTGAGGCCTTGGGTATGCAAAGCAGAAACAAATTCAGCACACCAGGGGACTGAACAACAATTGTGGACTATTCTGTAGATTTATTCTGTCCTATACCATTCTTGCCCCACCTCTACCTCTAGATATGCAATTACTGGATTACCTTGTGAAGGCCTGGCATAATGTATAATTTCTCAGCTACTATCTTGCTTTTTGCTACATAATTAAAACAATTATAGGCTTTATCTTCATTCACTGGAAGGACAACTCATTAAATGTCTTTAGCTACTTAAAAAAATAATTAGTTTAGGGTTGTTGTTTTTTTGAAATTAGAACTAAGTTAGAAATATTATAAACAGCTATTTTGTTCCTCCTTTCTGTTTTGGGGTAAATATGTTACAACTCTCATAGATATGCTAAACCCTGAATTTCTGAGTTGCTTCTAGAAAGACTAGAACTAGTTCTTTTGAGTTGCACATAGATTAGCAGTATTTACATAATTATTTGCTTTGAGTTCTAACAAATTAGTGTACATTTCAGTAGCTGAATAATAGATCCAAAGAGCAGCAGATTTGTCTGGTTACTAGACATGTCATGGTTAATTGTTAGATTAGAAAAATGGAAAGGTTGTCTCATACATATTTATGGCTGCTAGAATGAAAGGAGTTTCTGTTTTTTGTTAAAGATGATTTCTCCATAAAAGTCGGGACTTGGGTAGTACTATTCTTACTCATTATCGAGACTGGATTTTCATCTGATAATTGCATCACTTGCAGTATCTAGGACTTGCAAACCACTGGATGAATATACTGGTCTGATTTCCCTAAAATTGCATATAACTTCTGCTGTAGAGATTAAATCAGTAAGTCAAACAAACTTTCAAAATAGAACGTTCAATAATAGGGAAGTGTGAATTGATTCCGGCCTGTTATAAAATAAAAGTGCATTTTTGACTAATGATCCAAGTATATATACACAAGTTTAGTATGTGTACAGTATAATCAGTGGTCAAGTTGGCCATCCTGGAATAAATCAGATACTGTAGTTCAAAGCTATGCTTTTTAACTTTGAAATGAGATATTCTGTAGTTTAGAGTTGCAAAAAAATGGTGTAATGATAATCTAAGACTTATACATCAGCATTTTTACTAAAATGTAGCGAACTTCTAACAAATGGTAAATGGATCCTTACATCTTATTGCAGAAATGGAATTTAATTTCATTTAGCTGTAGTTCACTTCTAAGGTGTTGGTTAATTCCAAAATCTTATAGTAAAAGTCAACATTGCAAATTTATCTGGACCCTTAATCCATTTATAACTTTATTAGATCAGATTCTTATTTAGCTTTTTGCTGTTTATTTCAGATTCTTTAAGCTTATAATTAGTTTTTCTTTGGTTCAGAGTTGCAGATAAATTCACCTGATGAACACTTTTCATATTTGTCATTCTGAAGGTCTCTAATAGCTTAAAGATGGCTAATAGGCAATTTCCAAAAGTGACTAGAAAGTGAGGTTTGTGAATTTAGTGTCCTTTAAAAGGCTGTGCCATAGTTGTGAGCAAGATGACTGATCCCATCATCTTCCGGTGCTCAAACCCATGGAAACCCACTGTCTTGTGGTCTCCTCATGAGGAGCAGCCATCTGGAGCACATGTGGGCAATCTCCCATCCTCTCCAGAGTGGTTCCAGGGAACCAGTCTACTCACTGGTTCTTTGATCTTTGCTGCAGTTGTCAGCTCCGTTCGCCATGCCTACCCTGGAATTCCCTGTGTCAAATGTTTTTTTGAAATATAAAGTTATTTGGGTATTGAGGCATACTCCCACAACTAAATTAGTCTGTTTTCTGCAGAAAGAACTGTACATGCTTTCCAATAGGAAGCATAAGATATCCTGTAGAATTACCATTTACAAAGTTAGTTCAGTATATGTTGTGGGAATGTAAGCTTTAGTACTATTTAATAAAAATAGTTTGGAAAGGAAATTCAGGCTTTAGGGTTTGTTTCAGTTTGTTATAAATCATTTTCCAAAAGTGTTGAGCTTTACAATGTTGTCACCAAGTATGCAAAAGCAGTTCAACGGTATTGTTACATTTCCAACAATTTTTAGAAAATGCTCATTATAGCAATCGATATTGGTGTAATAATATACCAGCAGTTAAACATTTTATACCAGTTTTCTCTAAGTATGATATTGATGTGAATTTATTGTAAGATTGCAAGACCTGGGAGAATTGTGTTGTAAACTGTATCTGAAGTTAAGAAGATTTACACCAATGAATCCTTTCAGGCTACCAGTATTTAAACTTAATAGTATATTGAATATTATTAACTTTTGTCTGTTACTTAGAATATATTCAAAAACACTAAACTTAATATTTTAAGAAACTTATAGAAACTGAAATCTTTGTGATCAGTTGTACTAAAACCTTGGTGTGATGATGGACTACAGTAACACAGCAGGTTCTCAGGAAGGAGGGAGCACATTCCAGGAAGGGGGGCGAGACAAGAGACAACACAGCCGGAGCTGGATCGTGAGAAGAGGACAAGATTTAGGATAGCTACTCCCTAGAATCTCCCAGGGTATATCCACATGGTTAGAGTAATACAGATTTAGTCTGGCAAGATTCTGTCTATATGGTATAAGCAATAAGAGAACTGAACTTGGCTAGACTGTTTCTCTGTCGTTCTTGGGCTGGGCCTGACACTTGTTGATCCAGGATTCTAATTTTTGAGAGTGTGTTTGTACTGAACAGCCAGCACTTCAGGAGTGATCTGAATTATTTCATAAACTTCCATTTCAGAACTTGACTATTAGCAAACTGGAAGTGTGTATGAGAAAGCAGCATGTTGTTCTAAAATATTCATCAAATTCATTGTGTCTTATTCCTTGATATTTCAGCAATATTGAGAGAGAATATAATTGCAAGCAATACATTAAGCATAGACAATATATAAAAAATCTTGCAAACCTTCATTTTATAACTTTTCTTTCACAATTTTTCAATAATAGATTATTAAATGTTTCTTTTAACTGCAGTAAAATTCAAATTGTAAATTACTTCTAAACGTCCCGCAATAAATGCCTTTTAGACTTCACTAATAGTAATTCTAAACATGTCTACTTGGAAGTGAGTCCCATTGTGCTCATTGAGGGTTTTTCCTAGTAAATATATATGCATATGCATGGTTAGCTACTTTCTACATTCCATGACCAACTTTCATTACTAATACCTAATTCTAGAACTTTGCAGCATGTTTTCTGCATTTTTACCAAAAAGGTTCAGTAACTCAGAATTGAGTTTTTGATGCAAGTAGTCCTTGTGTTAAGAACAGCCGATTTAAGGATGACCCATAGTTAAAAACGGAGCCAAAATTCAAGTTAAATACACAATGGTTCAAGTTAATTGCACAATACTACTTATACAGTATTATACAATAATACTGTTCTGGC